TCCAATGGAATCGACAATATTGGTCGTGGTTGCGCTTGGCAGTCACCACATCACACTCCTCCGGAAAGTCGACTAAACCTTGCTCCTCCGCGTAGTCGAGGATGGCCCCGACCGGCTGAGCAAGTGGAGTCAATTGCTTGACGGGCTGTAGCGGTCCGCTCGGGACGTCCGCCTTGCCCTTGCTTCTACTTTTGTTACCTCTGTACTTGTTGTTTTTGTTGCTAGCTTTGCCGTCAGCTTTCTCAGCACCCGAACCGGCTTCCTTCTTCTTTTCTTCTTTTGCACCTTCTTCCTCATCTCTTTTCCTCTGCAAGGCGTCCACCGCCTCGGCTTGCCGGTCGGCACGGCCGAGCGCCTCCTCGTACGAGGTGGGGGGACTTCTGACGAAATCTTTGTAAAGCTCGCCCGATCGGATAGAGTTTGTGAGCATGGCCACCCCGGTCCTGTCATCAAGGCCCTGAACCTTGACTGACTCGGCCCTCCACCTCGCTAGGAAGGTTGACAATGATTCCTTCTTCCCCTGTTTTAGGCCGAACAGGTGGCTGAAGTTTTTCTTGACGTCTCGGGATCTCGCGAACCTCAAGAGAAAGCGCTGAGCCAACTCACGGAAATCGTGATACTCCCGTCGGGTAGAGAGTCATACCATTCACGAGCCGGGCCATCCAAAGTGGCGGAGAAACCACGGCATCGGATGGCGTCCTCGTACCCCATCATGACCATGTAGGAAAGGTACCGAGATACATGATGCTGGGGGTCAGAAGCGCCCTTGTATGCTTCAATGGCGCAGGGCTTGTAGCCCCTCGGTAACGGCGCATCCATGACCGCCCGGGTGAAGGGTTCGGGTATCCGGAGGTCGGCCGTGTAAGGCTCCCCCCCGACGACCCTCCTTCTCAACTCGTCAAGGCGCTGTCGTAGATCTTCCACCTCGGCCGGCGGTGGGTTCCCCCGGACAGCTCCAGCGCGGGGCTGGGCATGTCCGGCGGCACCTCCAAGTCGTCCGTGCACGTGAGGTTGGGGCCCCACGTTTTGCCTCTCCGTGGAGCCAGTCCGACTGCTCGCCCGGTGAGAGTGGCGAGAGGGCTCGCCTCCTTCCATCTGCGTTGGGCGCCCCTGCTGGGCGCCCCTCCCTGTCTGCCGATGGGGTCGGCTAGGCTGCTGGGAGACTTCTTCCCCCCGCCGATGGGAGACTTCTTCCCCCTATTTTGGTTGGATCTAGAGCGTCGCTCATCACGCCGCCTGGAGGACACCTCCGCATCCGCTGGCGTCTGTTGACGGGCAGGCTTATCCACATTTCCGCCAGACACCATCTGTTGGAAATTTTGAGCCGGGTCCATGCGCGGAGCATGACGTCGGCCTCCCCCCGCCGGCTGCGGACCGAGCGCTCAACTTGGGTGTGGTTGAGCGTCGCCCTTAGGTCGCCGTGGCCTGATAATTGGTTCCGAAGGTCGCCTTGGCGCGCCACCCTCCTACCCTGTGCATGGTTGTCGAGGGCACACTGGCGGCCAGACCGGGTGGACTCCTCGGTGTGGACTGAGACATGGTCACGTCGAGACGAGATTCCGGCCATCTTCCTGTGTGATTCCTACTCAAGTTATGTGAGAGACAATAGAGGCTCTCAATGAAAGCACCAATGTTGGTCCAAAATAGGACGCTCGTAGGCTTTTAGGAAAGCTACGTACGACACTCAAGCAGGAATTAGGAAAGTACGAATATGGAAAGTTAGCCAGAAAAAGCATATCTGTATTTGAAATTCGAATTGCCTTTTATAGGCGATTACAAATGGTAACTGCCGAACATAATAATGACTAAATTAATTACAACATTAATACGGAATTAAACACATAATTAAGTAGCGCATTGATTGTTGGCCGTTACTCTTCCTGGCTGGCAGGTCAGCCTGGCTGGCAGGCTGGACGCTTGAGCTCCCTCCTGCTGGACTGGACGGTGGGCTTCCCGCTAGGCTGGAGGAAGGCTTCTCACCAGACTGGAGGCAGGCTCCCGGGTAGGCTGGAAGGCAGGCTCCCCGATGGGCTGGAGGCAGGCTCCCACCTGGGCTGGACCACGGGCTCCCAGTTGGGCTGGATCGCAGGCTCCCAGCGGGCTGGTGGTCGGTAGGCTCCCGGCTAGGCTGGAAGGCAGGCTCCCCACTGGGCTGGAAGGCAGGCTCCCCACTGGGCTGGACCGCAGGCTCCCAGTTGGGCTGGACCGCAGGCTCCCGGGTACGCTGGAAGGAACGCTCCCGGGTAGGCTGGACCGCAGGCTCCCAGTTGGGCTGGACCGCAGGCTCCCAGCTGGGCTGGTGGTCGACAGGCTCCTGGCTAGGCTGGAAGGCAGGCTCCCGGGTAGGCTGGACCGCAAGCTCCCCGCTGGGCTGGTCGACAGGCTCTCTTGGGCTTCCGCTCCTTGATTGCCCTGGTTGGTCGGGCTGACTCGAGCTCTGGGTTGCTGGGCTTGGGCCCGCTGGTCCAAGTTCGGGGCCTGGGCTGATTAGGCTCTGGGCCTAGTCCCATAACCCCATCAGTATTTATAGTCAATTGAGTACTCTTTTAAATATTGATGAATGCACATACAATTAACTGTCTCTGTAACTTTAAGAAAAACTTTAAACACACATCTTACCGTGCGGTGCACGGGTAGACACACTAGTATATGATATATCAAATCTACAGCTCTCTTAGTCTTATACTACTTCCGTCTCATAAAGGTTTGCCAAATTGACTTTTCTTGGTTAGTGATGACAAACTTTGAATAATGATTTTAATTATTATATTTGTATATAATTTAAAAAGTTATACTTTTATAAGGAACATTATCATACAATTTTCATATTCTAAATAATTTCGTATTAAAAATATTATTGATTAAAGTTGATTGTCATTGACCAAGAAAAGTCAATTTGGCAAACCCCGAGGGAAGTATAAACTATCACTTATCTAAGCTGAATTGGAAAGTGATGTTTTGAAGCAATTGTTGATGGGGTGCTCTCCATTTCCTTCTCTCCATTTCCTATCTCTCTCCTACTCGACATTTCTAGTTAATGGAGAGGAGCAAAATCGTTGTTGATGTATTAGCTACAACATGTACTTTTCAACGTTTGTGTTTGATGAATGCCCTACGTATATGATTGTCATGATTAGGGTGGGTAAAATGGTTATAATAACTGAACCGAATCAAACCATATCTGATTGAGCTAAATTCAAACTAAACCATATGCAATTTGGTTTAAGTTTGATAATATTTCTCTCGAACCGTATTATATTGAATTGGACCGAAATCGAGAAAAACCGAAGTAAATATATTAAAAAAACCTTTATGTACACTTAAAAACAACAAATTCAAACCAAATCGAACTAAATCTAATCTAGCTGGAACATAGTATTGTATTATATTTGTTTGATAATTATTCTTCTAATTCGTTTCAAACGGAAACCAACATGCATCCCTGGTCACAAAAGTGAAATGAGAGACATCTATCCATAATTTGAACCCCGATACATGCAACATATTTATTTGATCACTTTGTTTGCCTCGTCTTCACTCCCAATGTAGTGTTTGTAAAAGTATTCCCCGACTTTGCATTATAAATCCACGTATAGAATCTCCATCTCATAGCTTTATGGGGCTAGGACACCAATATTACTAAAAAATAATTAATGGACAAAAAGTGTCATTTTTTTAAAAACTTTCAGAAATGTGATTAAAAGGGGCCGAACATACTATTTTGCCCTTACTAAGCCCAGAAGACCCACTACAGTGACCAATGCGTTACAGTGACCGAATTGACCAATGCATTACAATGACCTATATTTCGAGATGACACAATGACTATATACCCCCAGTTACTAATGTCACAGTTATCAACACTTAGTGATCAAGCTCCAATGACATCCGGTCCCAGACCACCCCGATCTCAGTGACCAACCCAATAGTGACATCCCACCGATGAGCACGACCGCCTCGCCAATGCTCCTAGTGCCCAACCAACCCCGCCACTGCCCCAACAGTCAAATCCGGTCCCGCCCCATGTCCAACCAACCTCGCCCCCTACTCCACCATAGTGTCCTGTTGGCTGGTGACCACCACCTGTCACTGTTGCCAATGGCGGCCTATGACCTTATTTTTTGCCATAGCCAGCTACCTTGATTGTGACCACAACCATGACCGTCGATGAAACGAATGCCACCCCCGATGGGGGCAGGCGGTGCACTGCTGGTAGCCATCCACAACCTGGCCCTCAGCTCCTCCGCAGTCTTGCAACCCTCAACCACTGCCTCTCCTGCCCCCTGCACCACCCCCAGAAAGAAGAAATAGAAGAATGGTGAGGTTGTGGAAGTCGGTGGCGGCGTCGATGTGGCGGAGACATAGCTCGAACTCGATGGCTTGATCAGCGTAGATGGAGCTCGGCCAAATCGGTGGCTTGATCGGCGTAGGTGGAGATCGGGCGGAGAGACTAAAAATGTGCGAGAATGGGGAATTGAGGATATAGAAGAGAGGGTGGAGGGTTGGGGTAATTTTGGATTTTCAGTTGAAATAGCTCCTTTTTTGTCCAAATTCAAATGTGGTCTTATTTTTGCCTTTACAAAACCCTAAAGTCATATTTCCGTCATTCTTTTTAGTTTTATCAGTTATATTTTTAATAAATATTATGTATATGCTTTAATTTTACGCATTGTATTATGCTATAATCAAAATAAGTAAGAGTGAAGTTATTTTCAAATAACTATAATTGACAATTTCAACTATTTTTCATATAACATTTTCTTAATTTTATTATTGAAATATATTTACTTTTTTTTTCACATCACAAAATATTTTATGAATAATAAGAAACGTAAAATTGAAGGTGAGACACCCAAAGAGAAGATTAATCGGGGAGGGAGCGAGAATCGCGAAGGGAGGCCGTCGTTTTCGAAACGCCACTAACGATCTCTTTCGGACAGACAAACATTAATTCATATTCCGATGAATTTCTAATTTTTATTAATAGATAGTACTTACTCGTATTAATATATCGTCACGTCCCTCCATCTCTCTCCGGCGGTTATCCACCATCTCGCGCGCACTCCGTCTCTCTCCTTCCCTCAATTTACTTCATTGATCAACAGGTTTATATATTTACAAGGAAAAACCTAAGAACATGTCTTAAATGGATAGCATTAATTGTTGAAGTTTCTTGTTGCCTCATAATATAGAAATAGACTAGAATAATTTTGTGTTGCGTTATTTCCAATTGATCTTTGAATTTAGTGAATTAAGGAGACGAGCGGTTGGGCGGGCAATGAAGGGCAGGGGGAAGAGGAAGTTTTTCAAGTGCCTGGAACCGTCAGGTGTACACGACGGCGCCGCAGAAATGGTCGATGACGCCGGTAAATCTAAACGCTCCAATAGCGGCGGCGATGCTTTTGATGGGTTCCCACGGGATTTTTCGTCGTCGTCCCACGACGGGGACTTGGCAAAACATAGGGAAGCGAAATCTCGTAGAAGCATATCTCGCCTCATCAAAGCCATCCTTTTCGAAACGTCTCTGGTTCGTACGTAATTGCTTCGTATTATTTAGCGTTATTATTAATTAGTTCGTTTTTTTCGGGCCAAATTGAACGTGTTCTTTGAATTTGTTGTGCCCGCAGTCACGGAAATTTCAAAAGAAAGGGCTGTGTCTTCCAATCTTAGAATCAAAAGATGAACATTTGTTGTCTGAAGAAACAGAGAGGGCAAAAAAGTCGTTGTCGGGAAAACAATCAGAAGAAATTCTGGGCGGGAGCCGTTCATCGGACAACATGTGGGACTGTTCGTCCTTATCCACGACCACGGCATCCTCTTCCCGTGCATCTTCGAGGTCAGCGTCGGACAGAATCAGGACATTCGAGCCGACAAACTTAAACGAAGAGACGGCGGCGGCTTCCATGATGAAGGCGGGCAACATGGCTCCGATTTTGAAACCACCTAAATCGACGGCGGAATGGAAGGACCCACCTCATGTTCCAAAACACAAGGCGGCGGCGGCGAAGCGTTATTGTTGCTACCCTAAAAGTAGTAGTCGGGGAAGCATAAGAGTAATCTGTTTCGTGATAATATCGCTGATGGCGTTGGTGTTTGGGGGGAAAGTTTTGGCCATTATTTTGACTTCAATTTGGCTGTATTTGGTGCCTCACCCTTCTTTCGGCCAGCGGTTGCTTCAGCCTCACTGCGGCCTAGTCGTCGACGACGGAGTCGTGTCCAAAGAAACCACCGCAAGTCGATTGGTGTCTGTCCACGCCCTTAATTAATTAATCTCCATCATTTTACTCATTGTTGGGGTTTTGTTTTATTTCTTTATCCTTGTTACTTAAGAAACTAAGAAAACGTGCTTTTCAACGTTGCTTGAAAATGTTAAAAAAGTGTTTTCAACTGTCACCTTTTACTTAAATTAAACATTTAAAAGCTAAAATCTGGAAGTAGATGACAATGTGTTTTTAATTGCTTTTCACTTTTTTATTACATAAAAAACACTTATTTTATCAAGTACTACTGATGAAGTTTAATCCAACTACGAGAGCTAAATCCATGAAAGTTGATGAAATTATGGCAGCGTAAGACAATGTTATTATTATTCGGAAGAACGATTGACCGATCCACTCAAGGGAGAATTATAGGAAGTATTTATGGAATACAGGAACTAGTATTCCAGGAGGAAACTGTTACAATAAATGCTATTCATTACATATTAGTCTGAGTAAAATTCTTGTAGCGTTTTGGCCGTTGTGCAATGATTGTTCCTTTAAGTTAGGGGTGGGCATAACGGTTCGGTTTGACCGAATCGAACCGTACCAAACCGAATTAAACCGAACCGAAACCGAACCATTTGTAATTTGGTTAGAGTTTTGTAGTATTCCTCCCAACCCGTATTAAACCGAACCAAACCGAACCGAAATCATAAAACCGAATAAAACCGAATAAAATTGAACTAATCTTAAAATGAAATAATTTCTTATTTTTTTAAAATAACAAATGATGGAGTATATGGCCCAGGGACCCCCGACCCACAGACTCCTACTTCTCCTGCTCAGGCCCATCAAACCTAATGAGCACACAAGGCCCAGACGTAGCGGCTCGAGTATCAAGAAGCCCACAAATACACGTGTAAGTGCCTTCGGCCTCCTTGGCCGAGGGCTCCAAATTTCACAGAACAATTTCATTTGAGCATACGAAGCTACTGGGAGGAAACGACAGAAATCAGGAGCCTTCGGCTTACAGAGCCTTCGACTTACAGAGCCTTCGGCTTACAAAGCCTTTGGCTAAACAGAGCTTTTGGCCACAGGGGGTCTTCGGCATGAGTATTCACCTTCGGCATCAGAAGCCTTCGGCACATTAAGCCTTCGGCATAATGGAGCCCTCGGACCCCGGTTAGAAGAGCCTTCGGCCTAGCACCCTTTAGCCGAAGGCATCCACTTCGACAGAATATCCTCTCCACATGCGCCTGGATCACCGTACCAAGTACAAACGTCACATCCAACCACCGCATTTAATGCGGCCACATGCGAGTGCCAGTGCCACCCCGGTTGAGGTGACCCCCCGACCACCAGAATGCTGACACGTGTCCCTATCTAGCATTTATTATTACTATAAATAGCTCCCCCTATTCCCTTTGTAACACACAACTTGAATACACATTCCACATTCGAACTCCTTATTTCTCTTACTTATTTGCTCTGACTTCTCTCTAGTTATCCCCAGTAACCCCTCGGATAAGCTACCCCCGGGTACACTCATCCATCATTTGGTGCTCTCGTTGAGAGGTCCAATAAATCAAGTAAGGAACCCTCCCCTTCAGCTAAACACCTATCAAAATGGGAAGAAACACCCGTGCCCAATCCAAGACTCATGAGGACAGGAACCTGGCCCTCGGCGACGTCGACGCCCCCGAAGCCTCTAACAGGGCTCCCGAGGGCGGCGCCCTCGCTGGGTTGGAACAGATGGCTGTCGACCTGCGCCTTCAGCTCCAACAGAATGCCCCTGATGCTCGCCTTGACATCGAGGCAAAAAAGAAGGACCGGAACGAAAACCAAGTGAGCCCTCCGGTCCTCACTATCGACGTGCAGTCGGCATTCTCCGCCTTCATCCAAACACTCACCCAAAATCCAGGTGCCTTCGGCACTCTGGTGCCCCTTCAACCACAGGTCGGGGAGAATGCTATACCTCTCCCGCGTCCACCCCCTTCGTGAACCCTACCCCTCGGACCCCCCGGAGTCCTAATTTCGCCCAAATTGCCCCGTTTTTACTATTTAAACAGTCTGTAAACCCCTGTTTTGAGGGGGGAGCTTAGAGAGAGGTCTAAGGACGAAATTTCTTCTACTTTTCCATCTTGTTCTTCAATTCCCTTGGATTATTTGTAAGTTCCATCTTTTTAATTAATGACAATTAATTCTATTCTTGCCAATTCTATTGATTTTTCAATTATGAGTTGTGAGTAGTTTTAATTAGGGATTTGGGATTGATGAAGGGGTTAATCATGATGTATGGCTAGTTTCTTGATGGATAAGTTGCATGAATGCCGTTTAATTTGTGTTTGAACAATTTAATTGCTATCTTTTGTAACCTGGAACCGCGGCTAGATTTACAATTGCTTGTAGAATAATTTAAGAGAGAACTAATTTATTCTGAGACACATTCACACACACTTAATCGCTCGCTAAGAGATTAGTAGCGATTAAGGGGCCGTAAGCTTGCTCGTTTTGGCAATAATTTAGGATCCTGTCGCATGAGAGATCAGCCTGGTCCCCTAAATTATTGTACTCTACGCCGCGAGAGCGGTAAGAACTTAGTATTGATTAGCTAGGCTCAATTAAATTATTTTCATGTAATTAAGCCTGATTTGCCAAATATCCGATTACCCCGGAATCAATCCCTGTTCTCTACTGTCATTAATTAGAAAGAACCCATTAGTTTAATTTCTTTTATTTTAATCGTTCATTCGCATTAGTTAATTTTCCCAATCAATCAAATCTCACACGATGCATTTATTTTATTTATTTTTAATCGCTGAATTTATTTAATTCTTAATTCCCTTTTGTCCGTCCCTGTGGAGACGATACTCGTACTTACACCACTATTCTACAATCTATTTTAAGTGCGAGAAAACTAACATCAGTTTTTGGCGCTGTTGCCGGGGACGGTGTCGGTTTTAAGGGTTAATTAATTTCAACGAGATTTTTTTTGTTAGTTTTTTTTTTTAGTTTTTCGTAAGATTTTTCTTTGCTAACCTTTCAGGTCATTAAAAAAATCATGGAGCCATCTTCATCTGGAACCGCCGGGACATCTGGAGTCTTTATCACCACCACCCAGTCTGATTTCTACATCAATACATCACCCCAATCATCACCACCAATTTCTCCTAGAAACCACCCATCTGGTTTCCAAAAGTTTCGTCCTTCCTTCTTTCCTCAAAACCAGTGAACTCCACAATTCAACCTTCCACCTCTATACGAGATTTTCCAAAATACTTGTACCGCTCCTGAAAGCACTTCTCAAAATTCATTTTTTGCAATGCAAGGAGCGGGTCAGAATATTCCCCCGATTTCTCAGAACCCGCCACCTTACCAAAATCCATTTCAAGACTAGTACCAAGTACCTCCTGCACAAACAAGACCAATCCCACAAGCCAGACCTCAGCCTTCTCCATTCCAAGCCTATGTCCCGTAAAACAACCCTCTCTATCAAGGGCATACGATAGCAGAGTACCTAACCCCAAAAATTTCTGAGTATGACAGCATCCAAGTGCCAGGTATCACTGCGAATTGCTACGAGATCAATCCGGCAGTGATTAACATGATCTCAAACAACCAATTAGGAGGAGGACCTACTATAGACCCTATGGCACACATTACCTGATTCTTGAGGATTTGCCAGACTTTCAAGATACCTGGGTTAACTGATGATCTGGTAAGAATAATGCTTTTCCCTTTTTCATTAAGGGATGATGCACAGAGGTGGTTGGACAGCAATCCTCACCACCACCTCTAGACTTGAGACCAGTTGCATAGTGCCTTTATTAAAGAGTACTTTCATACGTCAAAGACCCTGAAGTTGAAGAAGTAGCTACAAGAATTCAAGCACGGATCTCTGGAGATTTTAGTTGAAGCATGGAAGAGGTTTAAGATACTAAGAAGGGCATGCCCTTAAGGCAAGATGAGCAACTGCGAGGTCCTATTTTTCTTTTATAGCGGGATCAACAATGAAGGAAAAATGATGTTGGATGCTTCTGCCAATGGAGCCTTTTCTGATTTACCATCCGAGGTTGAAGAAGAACTCGTAGAGAAGATAATGGCTAACAATGCATATTGGTACAATGACAGGAGTTCTCCTCAGCAAAAAGCTCCAGGCCTTTATGAAATCAGTGATAATTCTACCCTCTCTGCACGGGTAGATACATTGGCAAGCATGATGCAGAATCTCACAACCAGCATGGATGATCTAAGGAAAAGGGTGGAACTTGCTCACTCGGTGCCCAGTGTAAACATGGTAGCCCCCGGTCCTATGAGTCCTTCTTGTACTATGTGTGGGGGACTCCATTGGCCACATGAATGTAATATGATGGCACACTCGGCAGCCCCTGGAGTGGAGCAAATAGATGCAATGTATTTTCAGAGGCAGAGCTATTACAACCAGCCCTACAGCCAGCAGCAGCAAGAGAATTACGGGCAAGGAAATCAACAGCATCAGCATCAGTATTGAAACTATAATCAGCCTCAAGCATCTCAGGCCCCACAACAAGTACCTCAACAAGGTCAAGGGAATTTTGAGAATGTGACTTAGCATAAACTTTCTAGCTTAGAGAAGACACTAGAGCAATTCATTCAGGTGACTGCGGCTAGAGATCAATCAACGCAGTCAAGTATTCAAGAAACACAGTCAAGTATTCGGGACGTACAAATTCAGTTGGGGCAGCTCACGAAGGCCGTATCTGAGAGGCCTAAGGGATCCCTCCCGAGCAACACCGAACCAAATCCAAGAGAGCAAGTTCACGCAATCACACTGAGGAGTGGACGGGATATGGAGCCTGCTGTCACAGAGAAGAAAGTTGAAGAAGTTGAACCAATTGAAGTTGTTCCTGAGGAAAAGAAGGAAGAAGAAAAGAAGGAGGAGGGGGACACAGTCCCAAAGCAACCCGTTCCAGTCAAAGCTTACAATCCCCCTACCATACCCGCAACGCTTAAAGGGGAAGAGTGACACTGATGACTTCAACAAGTTTTTGAACCTGTTTAAACAGGTTCAAGTAAACGTACTATTCATGGAGGCAATGCAACAAATGCTGAGGTACGCAAAGTTTATGAAAGAATTCCTCTCTAACAAAAGAAAGTGGGGAGAACCGAAATCGGTGGTGCTGAATGAAGAGTGCTCGGCAGTGGTGCT